CTCTCTGTGTCTCTCTGTGTCTCTCTGTGTCTCTCTGTGTCTCTCTGTGTCTCTCTGTGTCTCTCTGTGTCTCTCTGTGCCTCTCTGTGTCTCTCTGCGTCTCTCTGCGTCTCCCTGCGTCTCTCTGTGTCTCTCTGTGTCTCTCTCTGTCTCTCTGTGTCTCTCTGTGTCTCTCTGTGTCTCTCTGTGTCTCTCTGTGTCTCTCTGTCTCTCTCTCTGTGTCCCTCTGTGTCTCTCTGTGTCTCTCTGTGTCTCCCTGTGTCCCTCTGTGTCTCCCTGCGTCTCTCTGCGTCTCTTTGTGTCTCTCTGTGTCTCTCTGTGTCTCTCTGTGTCTCTCTGTGTCCCTCTGTGTCTCTCTGTGTCTCTCTGTGTCTCTCTGTGTCTATCTGTGTCTCTCTGTGTCTCTCTGTGTCTCCCTGTGTCCCTCTGCGTCTCTCTGCGTCTCCCTGTGTCTCTCTGTGTCTCTCTGTGTCTCTCTGTGTCTCTCTGTGTCTCTCTGTGTCTCTCTGTGTCTCTCTGTGTCTCCCTCTGTCTCTCTATGTCTCTCTGTGCCTCTATGCGTCTCTCTGTGTCTCTGTGTGTCCCTGTGTGTCTCTCTGTGTCTCTCTGTTTGTCTCTGTGTCTCTGTGCGTCTGTCTGTGTCTCTCTGTGTGTCTCTGTGTGTCTCTGCGTGTCTCTGTGTATCTCTGTGCGTCTCTGTGGATCTACGTGTGTCATTGCGTGTCTCTCTGTGTCTCTCTGTGTCTCTCTGTGTCTCTCTGTGCCTCTCTGTGTCTCTCTGCGTCTCTCTGTGTCTCTCTGTGTCTCTCTGTGTCTCTCTGTGTCTCTCTTGTGTCTCTCTTGTGTCTCTCTGTGTCTCTCTGTGCATCCCTGTGTCTCCCTGTGTCTCCCCGCGTCTCCCTGTGTCTCTCTGTGTCTCTCTGTGTCTCCCTGTGTCTCTCTGTGTCTCTCTGTGTCTCTCTGTGTCTCTCTGTGTCTCCCTGTGTCTCCCTGGGTCCTCTCTGTGTCCTTCTCTGTTGGTCTCCTCTGTGTCTCTCAGTGTCTCTCTGTTCTCTCTGTGTCTCATCTGTGTCTCACTGTGTTCTCTCTGTGTCTCTCTGTGTCCCCTTTGTCTCTCCTGTGGTCCCTGAGCGTCTCTGTGTGTATCTGTGTCTCTCTGTGTCTCTCTGTGTCTCTCTGTGTCTCTCTGTGTCTCTCTGTGCCTCTCTGCGTCTCTCTGTGTCTCTCTGTGTCTCTCTGTGTCTCTCTGTGTCTCTCTGTGTCCTTCTGCGTCCTTCTGTGTCCCTCTGCGTCCCTCTGTGTCCCTCTGTGTCTCTCTGTCTCTCCCTGTGTCTCTCTGTGTCTCTCTGTGTCTCTCTGTGTCTCTCTGTGTCTCTCTGTGTTTCTCTGTGTCTCTCTGTGTCTCTCTGTGTCTCTCTGTGTCTCTCTGTGTCTCTCTGTGTGTCTCTGTGTGTCTCTGTGTGTCTCTGTGTGTCTCTGTGTGTCTCTCTGTGTCTCTCTGTGTCTCTGTGTCTCTCTGTGTCTCTCTGTGTCTCTCTGTGTCTCTCTGTGTCTCTCTGTGTCTCTCTGCGTCTCTTTGTGTCTCTCTGTGTTTCTCTGTCTCTCTGTGTCACTCTGTGTATCTCTGTGTCTCTCTGTGTCTCTCTTGTGTCTCCCTGTGTCTCTCTGTGTCTCTCTGTGTCTCCCTGTGTCTCTCTGTGTCTCTCTGTGTCTCTCTGCGTCTCTCTGTGTCTCTCTGTGTCTCTCTGCGTCTCTCTGTGTCTATCTGTGTCTCTCTGTGTCTCTCTGCGTCACTATGTGTCTCTCTGTGTCTCTCTGTGTCTCTCTGTGTGTCTCTGTGTGTATATGTGTGTCTCTGTGTGTCTCTGTGCGTCTCTGTGTGTATGTGTGTCTCTGTGTGTCTCTGTGTGTCTCTGTGTGTCTCTGTGTGTTTATGTGTGTTTATGTGTGTCTCTGTGTGTCTCTGTGTGTCTCTGTGTGTCTTTGTGTGTCTCTGCGTGTCTCTGCGTGTCTCTGCGTGTCTCTGTGTGTCGCTGTGTGTCCCTGTGTGTCTCTGTGTGTCTCTGTGTGCCTGTGCGTCTCTGTGTGTCTCTGTGTGTCTCTGTGCGTCTCTGCGTGTCTCTGTGTGTCTCTGTGTGTCTCTGTGCGTCTCTGTGTGTCTCTGTGTGTCTCTGTGTGTCTCTATGTGTCTCTGTGTGCCTCTGTGTGTCCCTGTGTGTCCCTGTGCGTCCCTGTGTGTCTCTGTGTGTCCCTGTGTGTCTCTGCGTGTCTCTGTGTGTCTCTGTGTGTCTCTGTGTGTCTCTGTGTGTCTCTGTGTGTCCCTGCGTGTCTCTGTGTGGTTCTGTGTGTCTCTGTGTGTCTCTGTGAGTCTCTGTGAGTCCCTGTGTGTCTCTGTGTGTCTCTGTGTGTCCCTGAGTGTCCCTGAGTGTTTCTGTGTCTCTCTGTGTGCCTCTGTGTGTCTCTGTGTGTATATGTGTGTCTCTGTGTGTCTCTGTGTGCCTCTGTGTGTCTCCGTGTGTCTCTGTGTGTCTCTGTGTGTCTCTGTGTGTCTCTGTGTGTCTATGTGTGTCTCTGTGTGTCTCTGTGTGTCTCTGTGCGTCTCTGTGTGTATCTCTCTGTGTGTGCGTGCGCGTGTGTGTGCGTGTGCGGGTGCGCGTGTGTTTGCGCGTGTGCGTGTGCGTGTGCGCGCGTGCGTGCGCGCGTGCGCGTGTGCGTGCGTGTGTGCGTGCGTGCGCGCGTGCGTGCGTGCGTCCGTGTGTGCGTGCGTGTGTGCGCGTGTGCGTGTGTGCGTGTGTGCGTGCGTGCGTGTGCGCGTGCGTGCGCGTGTCGCGCGTGCGTGCGTGCGTGCGTGCGTGTGTGCGTGCGTGCGTGTGTGCGGAGAAGAGGCTGATCTGGAACCGGACAAGAAAAGAGAACAAAAAAAAAAAAAAATAAAAGAAAACTAAAGAAATAAAAAAAAAAAATACGAAGAAAAACCATAGACAAAAAAAAACTTTAAAGAAAAAAAAAAAAACAAAAAAAAAGCCGTCGGCCGGTCGCGCCGGTCGCCCGGTTGCGCCGGTCGCGCCCGGTCCCTGCCTCGCGCCGGTCGCGCCGGTGCGCCGGTTGCGCCGGCTGCGCCGGTCGCGCCGGTTGCGCCGGTCGCGCCGGTCGCGCCGGTCGCGCCGGTCGCGCCGGTCGCGCCGGCTGCGCCCGCTGCGCCGGTCGCGCCGGTTGCGCCGGTTGCGCCGGTCGCGCCGGTCGCGCCGGTCGCGCTGGTTGCGCCGGCTGCGCCGGCTGCGCCAGCGGCGCCGGCTGCGCCAGCGGCGCGTCGATTGTGATATCAACACAGACATCACAGTCGTCATGTCGCTCTCCCGTCGCGTCCCGTGGGTGGTGTCATGATCTCGTGGCGTGGCGTGGCGTGGTGTGGGGTACGGTGTGATGTGGCGTGATGTTGTGTGGCGTGGTGTGTGGTGTGGTGTGTGCGTGTGTGTGGTGTGGTGTGGTGTGTTGTGGTGTGTGTGTGTGCGTGTGTGTGTGCGGTGCGGTGTGGTGCGGTGCGGTGCGGTGCGGTGCGGCGTGGTGTAGTGTGTAAGTGAGGTCGGTTGCGACACCATCACAGAGATCGCACTTGCCATGTAGGTGCCCCATGGGAGGTGTCATGAGGACGTGATGTCGTGATGTCGTGCCTTTCTGCCGGGGGGGATGCCCGGGCAGACTCCTGCCGGCCTTAGTCAAAATGAAGAACACGAGAGGCCGCGGGGGCAGGAATGGAGGAGGGGGAAAGGAGGGCCGAGAGCGAGGATACCACATCAGGAGCAACCTTTTTGACATCGGATCTCGAATGTGTGCGTCGCGAGCTACGCCTCGTAGTCGCCGTCGCATCGCCGGGCCGGCCCGTCGGCTGCGCCGGCGCGCACCGCCGCGGGAGGAGCAAGAGGAAACGATGCGGTACTGCGTGCGGAAGTCGCATGCAGAAGGCGCTGGAAAAGTCCCCGGCCGCACCCCGCCCTGCAGCGGATGGCGCGCGGAAGCGTCGAGTAAACAGAACAACTGCGTCAGCAGCCCGGGTGTGCGTGCAACCCCGGGTGCCTTTCTGCGAACGCAGCGGCGGGGAAAACGACATGCTTGAGCAGCTCGGGCGTGCGTGTAATCCCGAGTGCCTTTCTGCGGGAGCATGCCCGTGGAGACTTCTGCCGGCCCTCGTCAAAATTAGACGCGAGAGGCCGCGGGGGCAGGAATGGAGGAGGGGGAAAGGAGGGCCGAGAGCGAGGAAACCACATTAGGAGCAACCTTTTTGACATCGGATCTCGAATGTGTGCGTCGCGAGCTACGCCTCGTAGTCGCCGACGCCTCGTAGTCGCCGACTCGAAGATAGAACAAGAAGGAGAGAGGTAAATCAACGTACACCTCACAACAATGCCGTGACCCCCCAACCTATCGTGGCCAACGATTGTGAAAACCGCTCTTACCAATCTCATCAGGGCGAGGCATGCAAGATATTTGAGGCACCAGACGGTATCGATACCGATGCTTCATGGCCCTCTCCTGGGGTGCCTTCTGACCAGACTCCCGAGGCGAATCCAGCGGTGGCGACGAGGGCCTCCCAGGAGGCCCAACGAGGCGCAAACGAGGCAAGGGTAGCGGTATGTGTGTCTGGAAAACCTGGGGCGGATCGGGAAAGGAGACGCTGCCATGAGCTCTCGGTGGCACGGAGGGCGTGGCCCTGCAGGTAGGGGTGACCTTTGGTGTGCAGCTTGGGGGGGGGGCTGCGGGGGAGGGAGGGGGCCAGATCCAAGCGCGTGGGCCAGTGCCTGAGGGAGCCCTGGTGGGCCCGCACCAATGGTCAATTTGGCGAAGGGTCGCTCTCACGCGCAGCTGAATCTTGGTCCTGCAGGATCTGCCTCGTGGCAGCCCAACGCGCTGGGACAGCGCAGTAGAACATGATCGACCCACGAACCCGGAAAGGAATATAGAAATGTAAGGCATTGTAACATTTCAAAGACACCTGATTGGGCGACGGGCACATGCACTGCTAAATGTATCGATGATGATGTACTGTGCCGAGGGCTGTGCTGTGCTACGCCGTGCTGAACTGCGATGTGCCATGCCGCGATTGTTTTCTATATAGCGTTGTGGATCGAGTCCTCCCTGGCATCCGAGTCCTCACCGAACTGATCTGGAGCGTAAGCTCGAGATGCTCAGGATGGTAGCTGCCCCAGAATTAATCGACAGAGGGAACATGCCAAGAGGACGCGCCGCGGAACGTCCCAAGGGACGCGCCAGGCGACGTGCCAGGGGAAGTGCCATGGGGACGCACCGTGGGACGTGCCAAGGGGACGCGCTACGGAACGTGCCAATGGACGTGCCGAGGGACGTGCCATGGGACGCGCCGCGCGACGTGCCAGGTGGACTCGCCACGGAACGCGCCAAGGCACGTGCCAAAGTGTATAGTTGAGTGTATCGATATTGATGTACCGTGCCGACGGCTGTGCTGTGCTGGGCCGTGCTGAACTGCGATGCGTCATGCCGCGATTGTGCTCTCTCTCTCTCGTGCCAAAGTGTATAGTTGAGTGTATCGATATTGATGTACCGTGCCGACGGCTGTGCTGTGCTGGGCCGTGCTGAACTGCGATGCGTCATGCCGCGATTGTGCTCTCTCTCTCTCTCTCTATAGATATAGATATAGCGTTGTGGATCGAGTCCTCCCTGGCATCCGAGTCCTCACCGAACTGATCTGGATCGTAAGCTCGAGCTGCCTGAGCAGATGGTAGCTGCCCCAGAACTCATCGACAGAGGGAACATGCCAAGAGGACGCGCCGCGGAACGTCCCAAGGGACGCGCCAGGCGACGTGCCAGGGGACGTGCCATGGGCCCGCACCGCGGGACGTGCCAAGGGGACGCGCTACGGAACGTGCCAATGGACGTGCACCGCGCGACGTGCCAGGGGACTCGCCACGGGACGCTCCGCGGAACGTGCCAGGCAACATGCCAGGCTGCAATGCTAAGGGTATCGATATTGATGTACCGTGCCGAGGGCTGTGATGTGCCTGGGCGACCTGGACACGTGAAAACACGCGTTTCGCTCAAGACGTTGTCAGCACATCCTCATGCTAGACATCCGCCTGGGCAACCTGTACACGTGCAAACAAGCGTCTCGCTCGAGACATCCTCAACAAATGCTCATGCTAGACATCCGCCTGGGCGACCTGGACGCGTGAAAACAAGCCTCTGGTTCGAGACATCCTCAACAAATCCTCATGCTAGACATCTGTCTGGGCCACCTGGAGGCGTGAAACCAAGCGTCTCGCTCGAGGCATCCTCAAGACCAGGGCACGAATCCACTTGAGAGATCCTCAGAATTCAGGCCCCCAGGAGAGGACAATCTATAACACAAAACAAGCGTTTCGCTCGAGACATCCTCAACAAATTCTGAAAAACAAGCGTTTCGCTCGAGACATCCTCAAATCCCACCAGCCCTTTGGGCGTGAGTGGTTCAGCGAGCTCTCTCTGTCCTCAACCCCCCTTCTTCCCCTTCGGGGAGGGGTTTACCCCTCCCCCTACCCCCTCCCCCTGGGCCTGGAGGGGGTGTTCCGCGGGTCGCCGGGGGGTCTTTTTCGACTCCTCGGAGGGCTAAAAAACGACACCCCTCACGAGGATTCTGGCCCCGACGGGGGGACGGAGATAAGGTACCCTCCTCTTCCTTGAAGCCAAAAACATTGATTTTACTACGGTTTTGGCTCCATTTGGCCCTTCTGAGGGGGCAGCGCTCATGCAAGCTCCCCCCTCCCGTCAAGGCAATATTATTGATTTTACTAAGGTTTTGGGCTCATTTTGCCCTTCCGAGGGAGCAGCGCTCATTAAAGCTCCCCTCTTCTTGGATCCATGCCCTCCAAGATGGCCCCCCGAAGCGCCCAGGAGGCACCAAGAGGCCCCAAGATGGCCCCAAGAGGCCCCCCGGAGGCCCCCAACCGGGCGCGCCGGGCGCGCCGGTCGCGCCGGTCGCGCCGGTCGTGCTGATCGTGCCGGTCGCGCCGGTCGCGCCGGTGCCGGTCGCGCCGGTCGAGCCGGTTGTGCCGGTCGCGCCGGTCGCGCCGGTCGCGCCGGGTGCGCCGGTCGCGCCGGTCGCGCCGGTCGCGCCGGTCGCCGGTGCCGGTCGCGCCGGTCGCGCCGGTCGCGCCGGTGCCGGTCGCGCCGGTTGCGCCGGTCGCGCCGGTCGCGCCGGTCGCAATCGCGCTGGTCGCGCCGGTGCCGGTCGCGCCGGTCGCGCCGGTCGCGCCGGTTGGTTCTAGTTCGGTCCCCTTTGTCATCATCAGCACAATCTCTGGCGGCAGCGATATCAACAGCGAAGAAACCATCCACAACGCCAGGTGCCCCGTCGTTCGCTCCGGCATCCAAGTGGTCACGGACATCAGCGAGGAGGAAGACTACCCCGGCTACGACAGCATGGACGACGCCAAGCAGAAGCACGAGGCCACAGCTACCACTACGGGCAACGAAATCCGCGCAAGCCTGCTGTACACCGTCCAGGCGACGACGAGGACAGCGCCGACAAAGCGGAAATCCCGCGCCTGGCCAGGCCTCCAGTGGCCCAACCCGCTCGGCCCATCAACCCGCTCTCCTCCGAGAAGACGGGCACTCCCCCCTGGTCTCTCACAGCATAGGCAGACGCAGCGTACGCCACACTCACGCCATGACGGGGCTTGCCAGACGGAGGCCCGTCAGCGCGTCATTCCTCACACCGAGTTTGCCAGTTTTGCTCGAACGACAGCAGGACATCGATCGCTCCTGCAACGAAGATGGACACCACCAGCTACCACTTTCACATCTCCGATCTCAGCACTATTCTTGTACCTCAGCGCTGCACTCACTGTCTTCACAGCAGCAGCAACAGCTGCGCATCCAACACATTCTGAACCTTCAACTCTTGGCGACGGCACTCCCATCTCCACTGGTACACACTGCGTCTTCCACACCTTGCACATGCACCCACGGCGGCACCGTTTACAACAGGCTGTGCTATGCAGTGGGTCCATGGCCAAACAGGGCTCCCAAACCAGCCGTGGCTTTCTCGCCCACGTATCCTGCTCACCCGACCTACCGCGAGAGAGCGCAAGACCACTAGAGAAAGCTCCCTCGCCTCCCTGGTGGGAGCCCTTATCACCAGCTGCGAGCTGGGCCCCCGGAAACAGCACCACGAAGAGCTTCTTCTCCACTGGTCTTGAGGGGAGCCTCGCCCGACCTCCACCCTGCCTCCCTTCGACGGACCTCGAAGCTCTGGGTCACCCGACTTCGCGCACCGCGCCCCCCTTCGCTGCGCGACGCGCGGCGCTCCGGCCGTCTTCGCGATCCCGCGCTGGCGCCTTGGAGAAGCTCCTGGCTCACCGCCAACTGCAGCTCCCGCTCTCCCCCCCACCTGTCACCCACCGATCCTGCTCCTCTCCCGTGCGAGGCGGCGGAGCGGGTGCGGAGGAGGGGGCCTGCAGTCAACCCGTACCATATGGCCGCACGATGAGGATGCAGGGGCCTTGGAAGGCCATCTCGAAGCTTTCCGAGCGGGGCGCGGCCACCGAGGGTGGCCAAGGATGGACCGAGGGGGGAAGGATGTCAGGGTACCCGTGGGAAGGTTGCCCATCCTTACCATGCGGGTCGACTGTGGGCGGAGGGGCGGCGTGTATAACCAGAGCCAACGGCCCCACGGCGACGGCCTGGGAAGCCGAGGCCAGAATCTCAAATCAGGCCCCGCCTGTACTTGCCGTCCTCCACATTGCCTCCCGCAAGTTCTGCCACCTTGTCCAGCGCAACTCAGCAGAAGCTGCAACAGGTTGTACAAGCACCGCTGGCCACCCTGGAGAACGGTGGCCGCGGCCCGCAACGCCGAGAGCCAGTGAGTGCATCTTGCTCTACCACCTCCTCATGCAGCAGATGTGCTAACCCAACTCTTCACACACATCAGATGTACAGTCACTGCCGCCCGCATCCGAGAAAGGGTGGCCGCGGCCTGCGGCACTTACAGCACAGCCAGCCACAGTAGGCATCGCGCACACTCATTTCCCCCCAGGCTCACGATGCCTACCACCTGCCCTGGGACAGCCAACAATATATGGGGATGTCGGCTTTCGGGCTCAATACATGAAGGGGGGGACATACCTGCGCCACACCGCATCTGCACCTCTGGCCGCCACCACCGCAGGGGCAACCCGCCCCGACGCCAAGTGGAGCCTCCATAGGCGGCCACCAGTCGTGCGCTCGGGAACTCTAACGCCTGCTTGCAGGCGAGGGCCCCCGCCGTAGGACTGATGGACGCCTCATAGGGGGTTCCCAAAGGCAGGGGGAGAAAAGCCTTTGCGCCTTCTACTTTGGCGAGTGTAGCCACGCCGCGCCGCACTGCCTCTTGGACCCGATCCAGCCACACAACTGCCGCACGCCGTCAGCCCCACCCCTCCCCTCCCGCCCCTTCGAGGTTCAAGAACTTTCCTCCTCTTCCCCTCTCTCCTCCTTCGTCTGCTGATCTGTCCTGCTTTGCCTTGCTGCCTACCAGCCGGCGAACTCAGGGGCGCCCGCCACCCCTCGAGTCGCCTAGCTCACTCGTTTGATCAACCCTCCCAAGTACCGACCGGCCCCGGGGGGGCGTCGGCATGACCCCAGGACCGAGCGAGAGAGGGTAGGAGAAGGAGAAGGAGGAGGAGGAGGAGGAGGAGGAGGAGGAGGGCGAAGACAAGGACGAGGGACGGGTGGAGGGGAGGAAGGCGAGGAACGGGGGAATGGTAGAAGGGGGGGATGAGTCGGGGGGAGGTAGTAGAATAATAATAAGAATAGTCATAGTAATAATAATAGTAACAGTAATAATGATAATAATACAAATAAGAGGAATAATAAGAAGAGGAATACTGACAATAATAAAAACAAGAAGAAGCATAATAAACATGACGATAATAATACTGATAATCGTAACAATAAGAAGAATACGAATAATAATAATAAGAAGAAGAATAAAAAGAAGAAGAAGGAGGGGATAGCAAAAAAGAGGGGGGGACGAGGAGGAAGTCGGCGACGAAGAGGCAGGGGAGGAGGCACAGAGGCACGCCCTGGCAGCACGCTGCGAACTGTACATCAGCGTCGCGTCCAGGACACAAAGAACTCGTGAGGCGGCGTTCCGCCGGGCGGCGCGGGCACTTCGGCTCACACGAGCGCCCAGCCGCCTGTGGCCAGCAGCGGCTCCTCGGGTTCCGAGCAGTACCCGCGCTCCTGCGATGTGGAGGGGGGGGGGGGGGCGGGCCCTGCCCTGAGGACCCAAGAGCTCCCCAACACACAGATCTCGAGCTGTGCTGTCCGACCGGTGTTTTTGCATCGCTTTCTGCCCCGGGGGGCCGTCTATCGGGCCCCAGGACCACCAAAATTGGATCTCGGACGGAGAACGATCCCCATTCATTCGGTCGGGACCTCTGGGGCCGCGGATTTCGTTTATGCATTTGTTATTTGAAGCGGCGGATGTCAAGGATTGGGGTCGTCCAGAAGGGGGGCGTCCAAGAGGGGGGAGGCGCAAACCATGGCTGGCTGCATGTGCGCGGCCCAAGGGAGGGGGAGCCAGGATGAGCCAGGGACGCGTCGAAACAAGAATATATATGGCACCCGCCATGATATCCATCGCCCCCAACGGTCAAAACGTGCACTAAGGACGGGTGATAAGGACGCGAGACCCTTGGAGGCCAAGTTGGAAGTCCTCACGCTTCGCGTATCCCCACCAGCCCATTCAGAAGCCCTGCCCGTGAGAGCTGACGGGAAAAGCGACGAAGAGACAAATCTAGGGAAACAAAAGATCGAGCAACCAGGGTGAACTGAGAGATCCCTGGGAGCAAGGGGGTGGCCTTGGAAGGCCTCTTCGGGCCATCCCTGGGGGCAGAGTGGGGGCGAGGGGAACAGGAGGAGGAGGAAGAGGAGGAGCAGGAGGAGGATGAGGACGAGGAGGAATAGGAGGACGAGGACGCGAATGAGGACGAGGAGGACGAGGACTAGGCCGTTGCTGCTGCTGGTGCTCTCCGGGGGTTTGGGGGGCCCTCTTGGAAGCCTCTTGGTAACCCTGGAAGGCTTCTTGGGATCATCTTGGAAGCCATCGATTACAAGATGGGGGGGTCCCCAATTCAGCTCCCCCCTCAGGAGCGGCAGCCGCTTCTTTGGGCTCTCTTGGAGCGCTCTTGGGAGCTCTTGGAGCGGTCTTGGGGCCGTTTGGAGCATCTTGGGAACCATCCTGAGCCAGCTTAGGTTAGATGAGCCATCTTGGAGGTCATCTTGGGCTGAGGCCGCTCGGGGGCCTCTTGGGGGCCTCTTGGGGGCCTCTCGGGTGCCTCTTGAGGCCCTCTTGGGACCCTCTTGGTGCTCTCTTGGGGCTCTCTTGGGAGCCCTGGAGCGCCTCTTGGGGTCATCTTCGAGGCGATCGATCGAAGGAGGGGAGCTTCCGATCGAGCCCCCCCCCCCCTCCCCCCCTTCGGGGGCCACAATCCTCGTGAGGAGTGTCAAAAATTGGCCCTCCCAGGGGCCGAGAAAAAGGCCCTCCAACGGCCCGCGAAACCCCGAAAAAAAATCCAGGGGAGGGGGTAAGGGGAGGGGTCAAGACGCCCTCCCCGCCCGCAAACCGTCTCGCTCACTCCCACCCGCCCTCCCAACACATACGTAGCACCCGAGCCTGGCCCGAGCCTCAGCATATTCAGCAGTCGTCTTTGGATGGGCAGCTACTGGGGGCGCATCCGCCGCCGCCGCTTCAGCCTCCTCCGCCGCCGCCGCCGCCGCTCCCGCTGCCGAATCGCCGCCGCCGCAGCCGCTGCCGCCGCAGCCGCTGCCGCCACCGCTGCCGCCGCCGCGCCGCCGCCACCGCCGCCGCCGCCGCCGCCGCCACCGCCGCCCCCGCCGCCGCCGCCGCCACCGCCGCAGCCGCTACCCCCGCCGCTACCCCCGCCGCAGCCGCCAACGCCGCCAAGTGTACTCAGTATTGTTTTTTTGACAGGGATGGTAGGGGGAGGCCGCATCGGGTTCGCTGCGCATGCTCCGAATTTGGAGGCAGAGTGTGTTTGGGGTATGGTTTTTTACAAGGGATGGTGGGGGGGGCCCTCATTGGCTCGGGTTGGCTCCCAGTCGCCTGGGGGAGGGGGTGTATATCAATTAGGGAACAGTGATAAGCCCCTCCCCGAAGGGGAAGAGGGGCTTTTGGAAGAGGACAGAAATAATCTCGTCAGACCACCTACGCCCAGAGGGCTGGTAGGATTTTTTGGGCGGCGGGCGACCAGTGAAAACGGCAAAGGACGGGCCGCAGAGGCAAGTACACAAAGGGTACCTTAGATGAAGCGCGCGCCCTTACTAGGCGCGTTGACTGTACCGTGGCCCCCGCCATGGGATCCATCCCCTTCATCATCACCCCCCCTCTTGGCCGCCTCCAAAAGAATGGGGATCGTGCATCTACTGACCCGGGTCGATGCAAGCCCGGGTCAGCCGGGCCCTGTATGATCCCGCAAGACCCTGCAGGATGTTGCACCCAAGCCCGTGCCAATGCGATTCTGCACCCAAGCCCGTGCTAACGCGAGCGACCCTGGCCCTGCAGGATCCTGCAAGAGCCGGCGCACTGGCTGACGCCAGTTTGCCTTGACCCCCCGTGTCTGGGGAAACCAAAAAATACCGATACCGCTGCTCCCCGGAGCTCTCCTGGAGTGCGTTCTGACCAGGATTTCGAGGCGCATCCAGCGGTGGCGACGAGGGCCTCCCAGGAGGCCCAAAAAGGGGAAAACGGGCGAAGGGTAGAGAGGTAGGGGGTACCTTTTCTTGTTCCTCCTGTGAATCTCCTGAGCCCCGAGGGGCCCGAGGCGGGTGCCCTCCATGGGCCCCGGGGCCAGACGCTGGCCCTGGGGCAAGTCCCCCCGGGTTCAGAGGAGGAGGAGGAGGAGGAGGATGAGGAGGAGAGGAGGAGGAGGAGGAGGAGGAGGAGGAGGAGGGGGAGGAGGAGGAGGAGGAGGAGGAGGAGGAAGAGAAGGAGGAGGAGGAGGAGGAGAGGAGGAAGGGGGAGAGGAGGAGGAGGGGAGGAGAGGAGGGGAGGAGGAGGAGAGGAGGAGGAGGAGGAGGAGGAGGAGGAGTGGGGCCCGCCTCCCTCGGAGCCCTTTTCCTTCGTTGCGAGCTCCTCATCCGTCCGCGTGCGCACCGGCCCTGGCGGTTGCTCTGGCAGCCGGCCCACCTCGTGCCAGTCCTCGGGGATCGAGGATCGAGAGTCCCAGGATCGGGGATCGAGGATCGATGATCGAGGGCCCCAGAATCGAGGATCGAGGGCCCCAGGATCGAGGATCGGGGATCCCAAGCTCTCCGGCCTCTGGAGAGACGCTTCGGGCCCCAGGACCGTCAGATCTGCCACCGTGCCCCCCGTGGCACGCGGAGCCGCGGAGGAGTGGCTCGTGCTGTCCGTGGCAGTGCTTCTCTGAGAAATCCTCTTAATGGGCAGCAGCGGCAGGAGATGCATGGCCAGGAGGAGGAGGAGGAGCAGGAGGAGGAGGAGGAGGAGGAGGAGGAGGAGGAGGAGCAGCCGCAGGAGGAGGAGGAAGACGAGGGAGGAGGGAGGAGGAGGAGGAGGAAGGCAGGAAGTCGAAGATATCGAGAAGCATGGGCGAGGCCTCTAACCGCGCTGCCGAGGCCTTGGTGCAGAGAGCGGTGGGCCCGGGCTCCTGAGAGCTTCCACCAGGACGGCCGGGGCAGCCAACCGAGGCCGACAAGATGGCCCAAGATGCCTCTCCTCCTCCTCCTCCTCCTCCTTTTCCTCCTCCTCCTCCTCCTTTTCCTCCTCCTGCTCCTCCTTCGTCCTCCTCCTCCTCCTCCTCCTCCTCCTCCTCCTCCTCCTCCTCCTCCTCCGCCTCAGAAAACCCTCTAAATTGCTAAAGAATCATCCGAGGCGGCCTCAGCACAGCCCGACAACGCTCCGAGACGGCCCACGACGGCCCCAAGAGCGCCCCGTGGTGGCACAAGAGGGCCTCTGGAGGGACCCAAGACGGCCTCAGAGGGCCTCTCGAAGGCCTCAGACGGCCCCAAGACGCGGCAGGACTTGCCGCAGGCACGTGGACACCGATCCTGGATGCAACACTGATCAAGATGCACCCATGGGGGGGGGTCTGGGGACCAGGTTATAATGGCTCTTGGATAAGTCGCGAGTTCGTCACGACGGAGGGGAGGAGGAGGAGGAGGAGGAGGAGGAGGAGGAGGAGGAGGAGGAGGAGGAGGAGGAGGAGGAGGAGGAGGAGGAGGAGGAGGAGGAGAGGGAGGAGGCGGATGAGGAGGAGAAGGAGGAGAAAGAAGCTCAAGGGTCGAGACTACTTGCTGGCTGGGAAGGAGAAAGACGCTCAAAGGTCGAGACTAATTGCTGGCTTCTGGGCCTTTTTGGGCCTCCTGTAGGCTTTTGGTCGCCACGGTTGGGTTTCCCTCGAAACTCTGGCCGGGACCCATCCCAAGAGAAATCTGGCAGCCAGCCCACCTCCTGCCAGTCCTGAGAATAAGGAATCGTGACGGCATCGCATGGTCCTCAAACAGCCAAAATCCTTCCACGCTGGCCGTCGATTTCCGCTTCCCTGTCTCGGTAGTGAGCGCCCGTACTATCACTCGCTATAGACGTCACCTGGCCAGAGTAAACAGGCCCAAACAATCGATCCTCGCAATCCCATTGTGCAAGCTGCGAGGCGCAAGCACCAGGGCACCAACCAGAGGGCACTGACCACCACATGGCGGGTTCGGGAAACCCTGGATTGCAGAACATGCCATCCCGCGGCTTTTTCACCTCCTTCGGCTTCCGCCAGTCTTCCGCCGGCTTCCGCCCTCGGAGCTTCCTCTGTCTTACACTTCCGCCGGCTTGCGCCAGCCCTCCGCCAGCCCTCCGCCGCCCTCCGCCGAGGAAGAGACGGTCGAGGGACGCGGGGGGGGGGGACAGGCCCTGCTCCTTGCAGCCCGCGCGTTTGCGTCGCCGCGCGGCACGAAGCAGTCCGCACGCGCGCTCGGCAAGCCGGGAAACGGCACCTCGAAGTGGCCCAGGTGCGGGAGGCAAAAGGAGGGAGAGGAGGCGCGGCCGCGGGAAGGAGGGGAGGAGGGTTACAGTCGGACCAAGGCCATAAGAACATTCATCAAGAGCATCAAACCCTCCGTCGGCCAAAACACACAGAACATCAAAGGGTATACCCTCCACAGGATGCACAAGAACATCCAGCAAACACGATGAACACCAGGGTTCCCTGCCCGGACCGACCTCGATCTTATACCTCGGTCCGACTGTGCCAAAAAGCCGTACTGTACTGTACAGGCCCATCGTGGGCCCCAATTGTTGTGTGTATAGACTGGCTCCCGGCCAGTGCTGGAGGGCTCGAACCACGTGCCTGCGAGATTTGGGCCCAGAGCAAGCCTGCATGGACTCCTGGCGGTTCGTGTCACACTTTTCCCCTCATGATGCCCAACAGCTGATGTTCTCCAATACGGACTGCGGCCAGCGTTGGGCAAGCAACCGCGCGTCTCAACTGGGCGATGCCCGCGGCGATGCGGACAATGAGCTCTGTTCAGAGTCGGAACAAGTGCCTAAGCCTGCTCTCCATGGTTCGCGATAACGCCCGTGACCGCCCCCCCCCTCCCCCGCCCCCCCGGGTCACGTCACGACCCGCGCTGGCGCCGCGCGGGAATCTGCAATCCCAAATCCGCCACCGTGCCTGCAGCACGAATAGCGGAGTGCCACAGGGCCCATGCAGCCCTGAGAAGTTCATCCTTGTAGAGTGCAAAAAGGTTATACGGGCCCTGGCCACAGGTTTCACAAAGACTTCCCCGGATTCCCCAGGATCCCCTGGGATTTCCGGGATTTCTGGGGATTCCCCGGTATTTCTGAAGCTTCCCCGGGTTTCCCAGGGCCCTGGGCGTGGCGCGTGCGCAGCCGGCCAAACATGGGCCCAAAAAGCGCCCGAGAGGGCCGAAGATGCCGTCGAGAAGGGCCAAGAGTGCCCCAATAAGCCCAAGATGGCCTCAACACGGCCCAAGAGGCCCCGAAGCTGTCCAAGAATGTTCCACGAGGCGTCCCGGGAGGGCACCAGGAGGCACAAATCATGGATGTTCCGCAGAAGTGTTTGAAGGGTTTTGGCCGTCACGCCTTTTCGGCTTTCCGACGCTCCAAAATGGGCCACGAAGCCCCCAAGATCGCCCCAAGACGGACCCAGAGGCCCCCAAGAGAGCCCCAAGACGGCCCAAGAAGGCCCCAAGACAGCATGGCCCCAAGAGGTGGCCCAGATGGGGAACCCGAAACGACATTTCGAGCCCTTGGCCCCGAGGGACCCCAGGAGGCCACATGAGGCCCGCAAGAGGCCCCCAAGAGGCTCCAAGATGCTCCCAAGAGGTCTCAAGAGGCTCCGAAGAGGCCTTAAAGAGACCCCCAAGAGGCCCCAGAACTGCTCCCAAGAGGCCCCCGCGAGCGCCCCGAAGAAGCATCCCTGAGAACTCTGACCCACAACCCAGGCACGGTGGCGGGGTGTGCCGAAGGCGACTAGATATTCCCAAACGGCGCCGTCGCGAATCGTGACGTGACCAGCAGCCCCCCCCCCGGGTCACGCCCGCTATCGCCAGGTCCTGCTGCTCTTCATCCTCATTGTTCCTGTACAGCCGGGACCTGGGACAGAAGAACATCAAGAACATGAGACCCTCCGCCGTCAAACACACAGAACATCCGAGGGCACCCTGGCCAGGATGCACGAGAACATCCAACAAGCACGACGAACATCAGGGCAACTCCTCCCCGAACCGACCTCGACCTTGTACCTCCGCCCGACTGTATCCAGCTCGACCGCACCGACCCGAGGTCCGAGACGTCGAGCTCCAGGTCCTCCGGGTCCGAGCAGTAGCCGCGCTCCTCGTCGGTCGCGGTGCGGACCGGCGGCGCTGGGCCGTCCAGGGCCTCTCTTGCCGTGTGGAGGATAAGGAGGAGCATGAGGAGGAGGAGGAGGAGGAGGAGGAGGAAGAGGAGGAGCATGAGGAGGAGGAGGAGGAGGAGGAGGAGGACCAGTGTGAACCCAAGAGTTATCAACGATGTTGGAGTGAACCCTCCCTCCAAGCTCCCTCTTCGTAGGCCCCTACAACGGTTCATTTCCATTGAAAGAACTGCCTCGTTGGAAGACAACCGTTTGAAGATCCTGAAGTGTGCCAAAACATTGCTCTCGGGATTTCAACGCCACATATCAACCTGACTGCTGCGTCTTGATAATCCGGAATCGTGCCAAAACGCCGTTTTTTGGGACTGCAACACCGCGAAGCAAGATAATGGTTGCGCCCGCATAATTCTGAATCTTTGGAAATCACAGCTCCTGGTACGCTGATCATGGGAATCCGTGAAGCTGTTACAGATTTTGAAAACGAAAGTGCGCGGCGCTAAGGCGAAAGACACATTTCGAAAACAACCCGCCCTCAACCAGTGAAACTCTTGCAAATGTTTAAAACGAATGTGCGCGGCACTAAAGCGAGAGCCACATTTTGAAAACACCCCGCCCTCATTCAGTGACACTCTTGCAAGTTTTTGGAACGAATGTGCGCGGCGCTGAGGCGAGAGACACATTTTGAAAACAACCCGCCCTCAATCCGTGGAGACCTTGCGACTTTTGAAAACGAATGTGCGCGGCGCTAAAGCGAGAGCCACATTTTGGAAAGGAACAGCCCTCAAGCAGTCAAGCTCTTGCAAGTTTTTGAAGCGAATGTGCGCGGTGCTGAAGCGAGAGACACATGTCGAAAACGACCCGCCCTCAACCAGTGAAACTCTTGCAAATGTTTAAAACGAATGTGCGCGGCGCTAAGGCGAGAGCCACATTTTGAAAACGAGCCGCCCTCAGTCAGTGAAACTCTTGCAAATGTTTGAAACGAATGTGCGCGGCGCTGAAGCGAGAGACACATTTGGAAACAACCTGCCCTAAACCCGTGAAATTCTTGCAAATGTTTAAAACGAATGTGCGCGGCGCTAAGGCGAGAGCCACATTTTGAAAAGGAAGCGCCCTCAATCAGTGACACTCTTGCAAGTTGTTGAAACGATTGTGCGCGGCGCTAAAGCGAGAGACACATTTCGAACACGACCCGCCTTCCATATGTGAAACTGTTGCCACTTTTTAAGCTTCAGAATCATACATTATGAGGAAGTCTGCAGCGAAACGCCCGACCCGCCCTAACAACTGGCCTCGGGGTGCGACAGGGAGAAGTTATGTACAAGGAGAAGAAATGGAGGAGGAGGAGGAGGAGGAGGAGGAGGAGGAGGAGGAGGAGGAGGAGGAGGAGGAGGAGGGGGGGCCCGAGGGCATAAAGGATCACCCTAGCCAGAGGTGAAGAAAGCGGAGACTGTGACCAGGACTGAGCGCGGAAACGTCGGTGGCGATCTTGGTCGTCGTCCATGATGGTCCTCGAGGTCCTCGTCGATTCGTGGATCATACCAGCGAAGCAGCGACGGCCAGCAAGAACCACGAACAATATCCGTGTCGGCACGATCCCTGTGCCTGAAGACAGGGAGAAAGCTCCAGGGCCCGTCGCTCAGGTGTGCCGAAGTGGGGCCAGCAAGAAGGGTAAACCTCCATGCTGCAAACCGAACCTCCACCCTGGAGGAAAAAGCATGATCGACCCACGAACTTGGAAAGTGATTGAGAACTGCGAGGCATGGAACAGCTTCTAAGGACCTCAATTGCATATGCAATTGGGCGATGCCAGGGGGGCATGCCAGGGAGATGCGCCGCGAAACGTCCCAAGCGACGTGCCAGCGGACGTGACAGGGGACGTGCCATGGGGACGCACCGCGGGACGTGCCAAGGGGACGCGCTACGGAACGTGCCAATGGACGTGCCACGGGACGTGCCAAGGGACGCGCCGCGCAACGTGCCAGCGGGACTCGCCACGGGACGCGCCACGGAACGTGCGAGGGAACGTGACAGGCGACGCGCCAGGGGACGTGCCAGGAAACGCGTCAGAGAACGTGCCACGGGACGTGGCACGGGACCGCGCTCCCAGACAAGCCCGTCTTTCTGCTGCAAACAACGCGGCTTGCCTCCCCTCCGCCCTCCCCCCTCAGACACCGCGGAATCAGAAAGGGGCAACGCACGGCGGACCTATGAACGAAGCCACTACGACGGGACCGCGCTCCCAAAGCCACGGTCTCGTGTAAATTACGCTGCGTCCGCGCTCCCAAGACAACGATGCACTGTAAATCACGCGGCGTCCGCGCTCCCAGGGCCGCGATCCTTCGTAACTTACCCAGGAGTCATGCTCCCAAGGCTACGGTCCCTCGAAAATTATATTGGATTTGCGCTCCCAGGGCAATGACCCATGGGAAATGACACAGGATTCACCTTGTTTTGGGGTTCGCCAGTGGCTCTCTTCTCTCGGACCACCTGAGGTCAGGGCATCTCTGAAACCAAGGTTGCGAGGACGGACCACCTCGTGGGCGGCATCTCCGAGCCCAGACTTGCGAGGATATCGCAGGCGAAACCGGCCGGAGCGCTTCAGATCTGGGCGTGCGTGAGCCCAGCGTTACGAGGATGTCTCAAGCGAAAGTGGCAAGACAACCTCCACATTTTGAGCATGCCTCTGTGCGCTGGTCCCGCGGCTGGAATTAGCTTCTACAACTACAAGACTCCAGCCAGCCACGCTTCGTTGAGAACAAAGATCAATGAGGATGTGCGAGGCGGATCGGGAAGACGCGAGAGAGGAGGAACGAACAAGAGGGGAAAGAGGAAAGAGAGGCGTCCTTTCCAGCTGGGTTTGACTGGCTGTGCCGTGCTTCTGACGATGTGGATAATTAAAGCATGTGCGTGCGCTGGCAAACCGGCACGGCCCAGCCAACCCCTTGGACAACCCCGCATTGAACTGGACAACCCTTTCCAGACAACCGCCTCCGGACAACCCCCCCCCCCGGACAACCCTCCCCATAATTTTTCTTCCATACAACATGGTAATACATTACATTGCGTTCGCCCTCCCAGGGCCAGGGTCCCTTGTAAATTACGCTGCGTCCCCGCTCCCAGAGCCGCGATCCCTCATCAATTACGCTGCGCCCGCGCTCCCAAGCCCAGGACCCCTAGTAAATTACGCTGCGTCCGCTCTCCCTGGGCCACGATCCTTCGTAAACTACGCTGCGTCCGCGCTCCAAAGGCCGCACTCCGTTGCGAATTATAGGGTGTCCGCGCTCCCGGGGCCACGTTCACCAGTAAATCACGCCGTGTTCGGGCTCTCAGAACCAGCTGGGCATCCTGGGGCGGCCAGGCCGCTCAAGTTCTGCAAAACAAGCGTTTCGCTTGAGACATCCTCCGATATTCGGCGCGCAGGGCGTGCCATCCTCGAGCAAGCACGCAAAAAGATAATTTGTTCTAGCGAATCTCAACACCTCCACACCTTGTGTTTTATAGCGATTTCTGCGCAAAACGCTCCGCACCTCGTTTCTTACGAGGGAAAACGTGTGTCTGCGGACCCCGTTATTGATCGAGGATCCGAGATAGCATTTCCCTAGAGAGGGCACGCGCGAAACACATGTTTCCAAACAACAAACAGAATTTACCTCGATATTGACCGCACATAAATTCTAGACGCTTCGCGTATCCCCATCAGCCCATCCAGAAACGATGCCCAGGAAAGCTGACGGAAAAAGGGAAGAAGAGACTCGCATAGTGAGCCGGAGCGGGCAACAACGGTGAATTGGGAGATCTTTTGTGGCGAAGGTTGAAGTGTTATTGATGATGTTCTTGCTCCTGCTGGTACTGTTGCTGCTGCTGTTGCTGTTGCTAGTTCTGATGCTGTTGTTGCTGATGGTGTTGGTTTTCGGATGATGAGTAGACGGATAAGGGAGAGGAGGAGGAGGAGAGGAGGAGGAGAAGAAGAAGAACAAGGAGAAGGAGGAGGAAACAGGGCGGACATATGATCCTTTTAGGATGTCTCTTGGGGGTTGTTTTGGAAACCTCTTGGAGCGTCTGGGGGGGATCTTGGGGGCTTCGGGGATCCTCGTGAAGCCTGTTCGGGTCCCTTGGAGGTCTCTTGAATGCCTCTCGGAGCCCCTTGGGATATTTCGTGGGCGGTTGTTTTGAAGCCTCTTGGGACGTCTCGGGGGGTCGGTCTCTTGACGGTCCTGAGGACTCTTGGGCGTCTTGGGTACCTCGGGGGGGCCGCTTGGGGGGGTCTCTTGGGGCCATTTTGGGGCCATCTTGGGGCCATCCTGGGGCCTCTTGGGGCCCCCTGGGCGCCTCCTGGACCCGTCTGGGCTCCTTTGGGGGCCTTGTCGGGGCGTTCTTGGAAGCTTTAGGGGCTCTCTTGGGGCCATCTTGGATGATATCGGTCAACGAAGCGGGGGTCCTTAATTACGCCCCCCCCCCCCCCCCGGAGGCCAACATGGGGCCAAAACCCTAGTAAAACCAATGATTGTTGCTTCCTCGCCGAGGCCGTGTTGGACGCTCCGACACCTCGCGGACCCCCCCTGTCCAGGTCCACGGGGAGGGGTTAGGGGGAGGGGTCAAGACCCCCTTCCCGCCCGCAAGCCGTCTCGCTCACTCCCACCCGCCCTCCCAACACATACGTAGCACCCGAGTCTGGCCCGAGCCTCAGCATATTCAGCAGTCGTCTTTGGATGGGCAGCTACTGGGGGCCAATCCGCCGCCGCCGCCGCCGCCGCCGCCGCCGCCGCCGCCGCCGCCGCCACCGCCGCCTGCCAAACCGCCGCCGCCGCCGCAGCCGCTGCCGCCACCGCCGCCGCCGCCGCCTCCGCCGCCCGCCGCCGCCCGCCGCCGCGCCGCCGCCGCTGCCCGCCGCGCGCCGCCCGCCCCGCGCCGCCGCCCGCCGCCGCCGCCGCCGCCCCGCGCTGCAAACCGCCGCCGTCGCCGCAGCCGTTTGCCGCCGCCGCACCTCCGCCGCCGCCGCCGCCGCCGCCGCCGCCCGCCGCCCCGCCCCCGCCGCCGCCCCGCCGCCGCCGCCGCCGCCGCGCGCCGCCTCCGCCGCGGCCGCCGCCGCGCGCCGCCGCCGCCGCCGCCGCCGCCGCCGCCGCCGCGCCGCCGCCGCCGCCGCCGCCGCTGCCAAACCGCGCGCGCCGCAGCCGCTGCCGCCGCCGCCACCTCCGCCGCCGCCGCCGCCGCCGCGCCGCCGCCGCCGCCGCGCGCCGCCGCAGCCGCCGCAGCCGCCGCCACCGCCGCCGCAGCCGCCGCAGCCGCCGCCGCCGCCAAGTGTACTCTGTATTGTTTTTGGAAAGGGATGGTGGGTGGGGGGGGGGCCGCATCGGGTTGGCTGCGCATGTTCCGAATTTGGAGGCAGAGTGTGTTTTATATTGTTCCCTACCTAGGCTCTGCCTAGAAGGGTTCTTACTCTCTTAGCTTAAAGGGGCCGGGCAGTGTAAACCGCCCTGGGCGGTTCCCCCAGTCCCCGCCCCGCGGTTCCCCCAGTCCCCTGGGAGCTTTAGCCTTAGCTTTAGCTTTAGCTTAGCTTTAGCTTTAGCTTTAGCGTTAGCTTAGCGTTAGCTTAGCTTTAGCTTAGTTTTAGCTTAGCTTTAGCTTAGCTTTAGCTTAGCGTTAGCTTAGCTTTAGCTTAGTGTTAGCTTAGCTTTAGCTTAGCTTTAGCTTAGCGTTAGCTTAGATTTAGCTTAGCTTTAGCTTAGCCTTAGCTCAGCTTTAGCTTAGCGTTAGCTTAGCTTCAGCTTAGCTTCAGCTTAGTGTTAGCTTAGCTTTAGCTTAGCTTTAGCTTAGTTGTAGCTTAGCTTTAGCTTAGCTTTAGCTTAGCTGTATCTTAGTTTTAGCTTAGCGTTAGCTTAGCTTTAGCTGTACCTTTAGCTTAGCTTTAGCTTAGCTTTAGCTTAGCTTTAGCTTAGCTTCAGTTTAGCTTTAGCTTAGCTTTAGCTTAGTGTTAGCTTAGCTTTAGCTTATATTTAGCTTAGCTTTAGCTTAGCTTTAGCCTTTAGTTTAGCGTTAGCTTAGCTTTAGCTTAGCTTCAGCTTAGAGTTAGCTTAGCTTTAGCTTAGCTTTCGCTTAGCTTTAGCTTAGCTTCAGCTTAGTGTTAGCTTAGATTTAGCTTAGTGTTAGCTTAGCTTTAGCTTAGCTTTAGCTTAGTTTTAGCTTAGCTTTAGCTTAGCTTTAGCTTAGCTTTAGCTTAGCTTTAGCTTAGCTTTAGCTTAGCTTTAGCTTAGCTTTAGCTTAGCTTTAGCTTAGCTTTAGCTTAGCTTTAGCTTAGCTTTAGCTTAGCCTTAGCTTAGTTTTAGCTTAGCTTTCGCTTAGCTTTCGCTTAGCTTCAGCTTAGCTTCAGCTTAGCGTTAGCTTAGCTTTAGCTTAGCTTTAGCTTTAGCTTAGCTTTAGCTTAGCTTTAGCTTAGCTTTAGCTTAGCTCCAGCTTAGCTTTAGCTCAGCTTTAGCTTAGTGTTAGCTTAGCCTTAGCTTAGCTTTAGCTTAGCTTTAGCTTAGTGTCAGCTTAGCTTTAGCTTAGCTTTGGCTTAGCTTTAGCTTAGCTTTAGCTTAGCTTTACTGTTACTACTAATGCTGCTTTCCTAGGGGCTCCAACTCCTAGGTAGGGTCGCACTGGGATAATTTTTGTTTACAAGGGATGGTGGGGGGGGGGGGGCATGGACCCTGGTTGGCCCCCAGTCGCCTGGGGGAGGGGGTGTTTATTTATAGGGAACAATGATAAACCCCTCCCCGAAGGGGAAGAAGAAGGGGTGGAAGAGGAAACTCCCTAAACCCTCGACGCCCAGAAGGCTGGTGGGATTCCGCTGGCCCCCATCAAGTCAAGACCGAAGTTAAATATCTAAAAGGGAACCCTGAGCCGGCGCCCTTTCCGGGAACATCCAGGACGGAGGGAGAAAGCCTCCAGGATGGAGGTCGGACCTCCCCCTTGAAGATCTTATCCATTGGGAACGTCTCCGAATTTCCCCCTGGCCCTCTTGCTTCATGTGAAATGAGCCGGTAGGGAGGGGACCAGCTCAGGGGGGGAAACATCGAGCTGCAATCGGCGATACACCCCCGATAGATCGGCCACAGGCCCCCGATAACGAATCCGCACGGTCCTCGGCGGGGTTTGCGGGCGGGTCCGTATCGGCGATCAGTGGGCAAGTGGGGGCCGATGCATCTCCTCCTGAACCTATTCCCCCCCGTAGCTCCTCTCGTCGGGACGATCCAGCCACCCGTGAAACGCCCGCGGCGAGGCGCAGCCGCTGGACCCCAGGGCTAGAAAGCCGCCGAGGCCGACGGTGACATTCAAAAACCTCGAACCTTGAACCCCCAGGAACTTTTGCATGGCAAGTTGCGGCGGCGGCCCCGGCGACACGCTATGTCCTGCAAGCCGATAGTGTCGCTCCGCTCCGCAGGGCGGGAGGCTGGGAACAACTCCAGACGTTGACGCTTGGCAATGGGGACGCGGATAGCGCCTCGCGCCGAATCGAGGTGGGCCAGAACCAACGGAGCGACACGCTAAGCCAAAGTTCCTGACCGTGACTATGCCACGGGTCGGCGACCCCGAAGGGTGTGGTTCTCAAAGTGTGTGGTTTGCAACCGCCACCCTTGGGGGGCAGGGGCGGGCGAGGACCTCGACAGAGCTCTCCGCCGCGCCCCAGGGAGAGGCCCGACGAAGACAGTGTCGTGCTCCCCAGGCTAGAACGATGCCGATCGCAAACCACACCTCGGCGCAACCCTACCCTTTGTATAGAAGAAAAAAAAGCGGCGTAAACATCAACTTTTGGCGCTCCGCGCGAAATTCTTGGATCTGCGCCGGACCCCCCTCCCTGGCGCGCGGAGGGCGCCAGGGGCGGCGCCGGAGGCGCCGCCAGGGGGGGCCCATCGCGGATCCAAGAAATCCGCGCGGAGCACCAACAATTTATGTTGATGCCGTTCCTTCTTCTTCGACTCCCAGTCGACGAGCTGGGCTTCGCGGCAGGCCTCCGCCACCCGCTGCGACACTGCGCGCTGCAGCCGCGGCTGCGGCTGCGCCGCTGGCTCCGCCGGGGCGAGCCCCTCGGGCGGCGGCGCGGCGTCGCCCTCCTCGCGCGCTGCTCCGAGCGGGGGGGGCACGCCAAGAGGGCGTGGCAGGGGCATCCCTGGCATCTGGGGCTCCAACTGCTTCACACCGGGCCTCCTCTCCCCGGTTCTGCCCGTTTTCTTGGGCCTCCTGGAAGGCCCTCCCCGCCACGGTCGGATTCGCCTAGAAAAACTGATCGGAACGCACCCCGAGAGAGGTCTGGGGAGCAACGGTATCGATACTTTCTGGTTTCCCCAGGCTGACCCTGAGATCTGGGCGTTGCAGGAGGGCCTAGAATCGAATCGATAAGTCGGATCAGCCATCGAAATGAATCGGATCGGCGGAAATCGGCAGCTGAGTCGACAGAAGTCGAATCGGCGGACATCGGCAGGCTAGTACGCTTCCAATGAGAAATCGGAACCCAAATCGGAATCCCAAGTCGAATCGAATCGAAATCGGAAGCCATCGAAATCGAATCGTATCGAATTGGAGGAGTTGAAATATGAGCCCTGGCGCTGCAACTTTCCCACTCCGGGCGTTTTGTCGCCCAGCTTTGGCACCGTGGCCACCACAGACAGATCCAGCTCGAGAACAGCCCCGCTGAACGATGGGGTCTCGGGCTCCAGTGGGGATTTCTCGCGATGCCGCAAGCTTTGCGCAAAGCAGGATCTGAAAGACGAGGCGGGGCGAGGAGAAGATCGCTCTGTCATCAGCCCCTGGAAGATCGAAACATGAGCATCCCAGCCGGGCTCGTTCCCTGGTCCCACCATTGCCTAAACTCCAGCGGTCCCGACCCTTTCCCTGCGATCAATTCTTCGTCCCAGATCAGTGCTCGATGGCCCCGGGCCCCCATAACGGGCGCCAGAGGCTGAGATCGCGGACAAGAATCGCCAGAGGACACCTTGCCCTGACTCTGGATCCGCCGTACTTTGGTCGATTTTACGACTTTCCATGGTGCTGGAAATCCGCCCCAAGCAATGCGGAAAAGAAAGGCGGGACAAATCCGCGTCGGAAAAATAGGGCAGCAACCGGCATCACTAGAAGAAGAACATGATCGACCCACAAACCCGGAGAAATAATGTAGAAACGTAAGGCGTGGCAGCGTTTTCAAGATACCTGATTGGGCGACGGGCAATTTCAATGCATAGTATATCGATATTGACGTACCGTGCCAAGGGCTGTGCTGAGCTGCGCCGTGCTGAATTGCGATGTGCCATGCCGCGATTGTGCTCTGTAGCTTTGTGGGTCGAGTCCTCCTTGGCATCCGAGTCCTGAGCCGAACTGATCTGGATCTTCAGCTCGAGCTGCCTGAGCACACAGCAGCTGCCCCAGAGCAAATTCACAGGGGGACACGCCGGGGGGACGCGCCGCGTAACGTCCCAGGGGACGCGCCAAGGGTCGTGCCAAGGGACGTGCCATGGGGACGCACCGCGGGACATGCCAAAGGGGCGCGCTACGGAACGTGCCAATGGACGTGCCACGGGACGTGCCAGGGGACGCGCCGCGCGACGTGCCAGGGGGACTCGCCATGGGACGCGCCACGGAACGTGCCAGGGAACGTGCCAGGTTGCAAGGCTGAGTGTATCGATCTTGACGTACCGTGCCAAGGGCTGTGCTGTGCTGCGCCGTGCTGAATCGCGATGTGCCACGCCGCAATTGTGCTCTACAGCGTTGTGGATCGAGTGATCCTTTGCATCCGAGTCCTGAGCCGAACTGATCTGGATCTTATAAGCTCGAGCTGCCCGCGCACATAGTAGCTGCCCCAGAGCTAACTGACATGGAGACATGCCAGGGGGACGCGCCGCGGAACGTCCCAAGGGACGCGCCAGGGGTCGTGCCAGGTGCCATGGGGACGCACCGCGGGACGTGCCAAGGGGGCGCGCTACGGAATGTGCCAAGGGACGTGCCACGGGACGTGCCAGGGGACGCGCCGTGCGACGTGCCAGGGAGACTCGCCACGGGACGCGCCACGGAACGTGCCAGGGGAAGTGCCAGGTTGCAAGGCTGTGTATCGATCTAGACGTACCGTGCCAAGGGCTGTGCTGTGCCTGGGCAACCAGGACACGTGAAAACAAGCGTTTTGCTCAAGGCATTCTCAGCACATCCTCATGCTAGAGATCCGCCTGGGCAACCTGGACCCGTGCAAACAAGCGTCTCGATCGAGACTTCCTCAACCATGCTAGACATCCGCCTGGGCGACCTGGACGCGTGAAAACAAGCGTCTCGCTGGAGACATCCTCAACACATCCTCATGCTAGACATCTGCCTGGGCAACCTGGACGCGTGAATCCAAGAGTCTCGCTCGAGACATCCTCCGAACCAGGGCACGTGAAAGCAAGCATCTCACTTGAGAGATCCTCGGAATTCGGGTCCCCAGGAGAGGAACATCTAGTACACAAAACAAGCGTTTCGCTCGAGACAGACCCAACAACGTCTGCAAGGCAAGCGTTCCGCCCAGGACATCCTGACATGTTCATTCGCTGGCCCACCCTTTCCTCGTCATTTATCGCAGCAGAAATTCGCCAGCCCACCTCAAGTCGATACTGGGGGTAAACAGCTACAAGAGAACCCTGGGCCCACGCCCTTTCTGGGAAAAATGTTAGGTCGGGCATGTCCCCCTACAGGCGGATTTTGGACGGAAAATCACAAATACCCCAGAAAGATTCAAAACATATTCAAAACATGGAAGAAAATCGTCCCATTTCTGGCAACGAAAACACCCCCCCCCGCCCCCGTCCCCGGCACCCCTGGCCCCACCCCCCGAGGCAACCCTCGGCAGGCCTCGGCGAGGACGGGCCCGCGGCCTACCGAACCCGCCCCGTCGGGGGACTCACGCGACGACAACGACGCTGCGCCGTCGACGACGACGACGGCGACGGCCGAGGCGACGACGACGAAGACGACGATGACGACGACGACGAATGGCCATGTGACGTAAAGTGCCAGATTGGGGCAGGAGGCGGAGGCTGGAGGCGAAGGAGGGGTAGGGCTGGAGGGGGGAAAGGAAAAGGAGTAGAAAGACTAACCCTAGAGCGGTAGAGGCGAGGAGATGAGGCGAGAGGGCGGGGGGGGGAGCAGCAGCGGCAACACGTGGAGGAGGGGGCGGGAGGGGCACGTGCGCGGGCGCACATTTCCATGCGCGAGTGCGCCCGAGTGGGCGTGGAGCCCCACGCTGGGGCCCCGCTCCAATTGTCCCCAGCGGATCCCTCCAGGGAACACCGCCCGCCTGGGCGAGCAGAACGTGGGCGAGGGCGCGCCCCGACAGCGGCGCGGGGCAAGCCGCGCACGATGGGCGAGGAAAGGGGAGGCCTCCTCCTGATCCTCGTCTTCATTATCATTCCCATCCTAACCCTCATCCTCACCCACATCCTCGTCCTCGTCCTCATCCCCATCCTCATCCTTAGGCCGAGAGCAATGGGAAGCTCTGGGGCAGCGCCGTCGCTGCAGCCTGCTCACCTAGGACTTCTTGAGGTCCTTCTTGACGCCCTTCACGCCGTTGCTGAACTCCTGTCGGGTCGCGGCCCGTCGCCCTGCCACGACGCCCCTCTCCTCCACGTCCTCCGCGTCAGCCCTCACCCACTATATGCACCCACATCCCTCCACATCCCCATCCTCATCCTCATCACCATCCTGATCCTCCTCACCCCTCATCCCCATAACCATCCTCATCCTCCTCAATCCGCATCCCCAGTCCTCACCCTCATCACCATCCTCGCTCTCGCCATCCCCCTCCTAAACCCCATCCTCCTAAACCCCCATACTCGTCATAAGCCACATCAGTTGTTCATCCTTAACCCCACCCACCTCAATCCTCAACCCTCGTCCACATGATCACCCTGCACCCGCGCCCCCCACATTAATGCCCCAGAAGTCCTTCTCGCTGCCCTTCTCGTTGCTCGAGCGCGGCTTCAGCTGGCGCCCCCTGCCGTGGATGTCGATGATCAGCTGCGCGCGGTAAGAAGCCTCGACCTGGATGATGTCGTTCACCGCTTGGGCGATCCAGGTCTTCGTCGAGGCCTGCAGCTGGTCGACGTGCGACGGGTTCGACGGCAGGCCGAGCGCCTGATTCTTGATCCTGATGGTGCTCTCGAAGATGTCGTTGATGTCGTGGAGCATCTCCGTCAACTCGAAGACCCGCTCGATCGGGGTGAGGACGTGCATGTTCCTGACCACGTTGAGGTCGTAGTGGTTGTCGTCGCCCGCCTTGTAGAAGCACTCCTTCTCGCCGCACGGCCAGTGGGCCACGATCGAGCGGTTGATCCACCAGCCCCCGTTGTGGTACCCCGTCGCAGGGCACTTGGGCCCCATTCCCTTGCCTCCGAAAATCATCAGGTCAAGCCAGTTCGCCAGCACCAGCTTCGTCGGGCGCTGCGTCCAACCAATGCACTTGTCGCCCCCGTCCTGGTTGTCGTACTCCCAGGTGGGCCCCCTGGTGCAGACGTACCCGATGTCGAACGAGGTGCAGACGCGAACGTCATCTGGCTTCAAGTCCTGGCAGGTCACGGGGGGCGGTGCCGATCGAAATCGCCACGGTTCGCGGCCGTCGCCCCAGTCCGCCCGCGCGCGCCCAGGCGGACGCGGGCGGACAGACGCGACGGCCACCCCTATACCCCAAACCCTGTGTATCTAGTCAACATGTTAACCCCTATTCCCACGTCATTCATATCTCTACGCAGCACTATGCCACGAAATACCCATATATGCGTACATGATTGGACCCCTGTATATACGCATACGTCTATCCCTCTCTAGCTCTACATCGCTATCTCTATCTCTCTAGAGCTCATCATGGCTCTTTCTCTCTCTTTCTCCCTCTCTCTCTCTTCCCCCCTTCCCTCTCTACATCTACCCGCCTGGTGAACCATAGATATGTATGTGACCGCCTGCCTATAGCAAGGTATGTGTATGTGTGTGGCACTTCTATAAATAGAAACACCGATTTCTATCCCTATGTGTCTGCTGGTGCATATATATATATACATATATGTGTGTATATTTGTATATATGCACATATGTATATACGTATACGTATTTATAC